GGACATTGGGGTTTATTCTTCCTGGCCCTGATGTCCTGCCGTGCCCCACATCACAGCCTTTCCGGATCTTGCTGCACCATGAGACTGTGGAAGCCCACAGCTGCAAAGCTTTCTCTCTGTGGAAAGAATGAATAGTAACAAGGGAAAGGATTAAGCTGCTGAAAGGCATGTGGTTTTGCTGCATGAAGCCACAGCTCAACCACATACTGCTTTTGCAGGTGTGGGGGCAACAGACCCTTCCTCGGCCAACTTTTTGGCAGTCTGCCTGTTCTCAAGGTTGCGTGACCCGTTGCCAGTTATTATGTATTCATCCTATAGCAACATTTATTGCTAATAGACCCTGGGTGCTTGCTGAGGAGCTCTCATACAGGCTATTATCTCCCTTTCTGCTGGAAGCTGAGCTTTGTTGCTCTGCTAACCAGCACAGCAGCTGAGCGAACACAACATAATGTTCATGAATTATTGCAGGCAACGTCCATGTCCTCCCCAGTGGTGTGTGGCAGGGTCATCTGCTCTTCACTATTCTGGTCTACCCGGGAAATCTCTTTCAGTGTCTATTTTTGCCTAGTATTTTTTGCTTTACATCCAGTGCAGTGGTGACACATTGGTTATTCGACCATAATTCAGTATATAAAAACAGCCGTAACCAGGAACATTGCTTTCTGCATGGCCTTGAGTGCTGAAGCAAAACTCACCTGACCTGAATGGATGTTTTTCCAACAAAACAGGCTGCAGGTGTTATTTTGGCTGAGACTTGGTGAGCATTTTGCAGTCCTGGTTCACTGGAAATCAACTTTAGATGTACAATCCCACAAATGCCTGCAGTGCTGCCAGAGTTCAGCAGTGGTGGGATGAGTGCAGACCAGGTGCCCACTGGCAGCCCCGTGCTCCCACAGTCATGCTGGGAACGCCGCAGGGCTCAAGTGGACAATCCCCTCGCTGTGGTGGGAGGTCAGAGGATGACACATGCTGGCTCTGGCTCACAGTTTCCCCTTGGCACTACAGATTTGGTCCTTGCAGTACGTTTTCTAATTCTCTGGCCATTTTGGGTTCAAAGGTCTTGAAAAAAGTCTAACAATTTTTTAATTAGTCAGTCTAATATTTTTTTTTAATTTAGAAGTTCCTGTAAAATTCAGCCCCTGCAGCCTCCTTCCAGCTGCTGCAGCCCCAGACATCCCTGGCAGGAAACCTTGTCCCCCGTATCAGAAGCAACTGGTGGGGATCAGTCATCTTTGACCCACACGGTGTCCCCACTTGGGGGCATATTGCTGCGTCCCCATGTTGTCATACCCAGTGTGCCCATCTCCTGCAATCGCCCGCAGCTTTCTCCATCAGTGTCTGACAAGAAGAGGGAATGGTAGCTAGCACTCTAAGCAATGCAAGCGTGTCTGCATTTTTACTACCCTGATGCGGGTGATATTGATCAGTCCATTAATGTAAATGTCTTGGCTGTTGTATGTTGCTTTTCTTGCTTATTAATCAAAATAATGCAAAATGAGGGGAAAGCAATTTTTTTTTTTTTTTAGGAAAAAAATGAAATACAATCAACAGTGATTGAATGCAGCCTGCTGGAATGTGATGGGGCTGTCTGCCACCCACCAGACATGAGGATACCCACAATAACTGGGGGAAATGCTTTATTTTGACATTTTGTATACGCAATGTTTGGACTGTTTGTCTCCAGGCAGTGTTTTGAGGGAAGATTTGCCTAAATCTGTTTGTTTGGTTAAAAAAAAATGCAGCCAAATGTTTTGTTTGTATCTACTGACACATTTCAGTCAACTGCAAATGTCTTTTTTGGGCATGCAGGTTTTTGTTTTGCCTGGAAAACAAAATGGATGGAAGTAACTTTAATTTGTGGGCAGCTTGAAGTTATTTCTGTTACCTCCAATTTGGGAGACCTCCCTGTAGCCATCAGCAGATGCAAAACACCAAGACATATACATAATATCTGGGATGCAAATACTCCCACCAAACCAATTCACGGGTTGGAAATTGAACTAGTGCTTAAGTGCCTTGGTGGATTGAGGCTTTAGCAATACCAAATAGTACTAAGGAGCAAAAATGATCAATTAAAGAACTCCTAATATGTCAAAATATCAGCGTTCCTGAATCAGGAAGGCCAGAAGCTGAAAGGCAGATTAGAGGAGGTGTGAAATCCCCTTGTTTGGTGTTTCTCAGTATGTGGTAGCCGCTGCTCTGTTCTGCTTGTATTTCCCTGTGGTTTTTTGGTAAAGCTGAAGAGAAGGAAACTACCTGAGCCACTATTGCTGCCCCTATTTGTTTCTATTACACAAACAGTAGGGAGAATCCAGATTTTTATTTATGTCCCATGCACAGAATTAAAAAAATAAAATAAAATTGGGATGTCTGGAAAAAATTAATCTCTTTTAAATATATTTTAGTTACCTCAAACGTTTGAAATACTCCTTTGTTTTCTGTTACGGTTGATGGATTTTGCTATGCAGCCTGGCATTGTGTAAGAACATAATGCATGTAGTAAAGGTGACTAACCCCTGAGAATGTCCCCACTGATGCCAACTCACCCATATGCTGTCATAAACACTTTTTCTTCTTTTTTTCATGCTGACTGCAAGAGCCCATTTTGGGTAGGAGATCACGTTAGGCTCGTTCATTACCTGCTGTGCTGGTCTGTGTATCTGCAGTGCAGCATCGCTACCCTGAGCTTTAGACTACATCGCTGCAACAGACGTGTCTGTCGTGGGTATACAGATCTTCTCCTGTGCACACCCCAGAACATTCTGCAACAGAGACAAAAATTACTCTTAAAGGCAGCTGAACTTTTGAGGGATGTGCTTGTTGATAGCTGCTATTAGGCTGTATCATTAAGAGAAATTCTGGGAAGTTTATATTTGTAGCAAAACTATCACTCCTTGTAGCAGAAGAGAAAGAAACTGTCTGGCACATTATTCTCTATTTTTATGAAGAAATTTAAAATCTAATGAGAACTACAGGTGTGACACACTAGTGAAATTTTACATTACCACTGCAAACTTTAATCTTCACTTTTATTTTTCTTGAAAGTCTGTCTTTGTGTAAAAGCAAAATTTCAGGCCTAAGGCTACTGAAGACCATCTTTAAACTTGCCTTGTGATTTTGAGCAATACATCATGAAAGCGGTGATGTTCAGATGATACATTGCACTAATACATCACAAGAGCACTATCGCTCTCATGATATATTAGTATAATACACTATCAGAACACTATCACTGATGTATTACTCAAAAACACAGTTTTTAACCCTCAAGAATCATCCTCATCTCTAGGCTGAATATGATGAAAGCCGTGTATAATGATAAGAATAAGCAATCGCATATTTGGTTTCTCTAGGGGAAGCTGAGAAAAAAAGAGTGGTATTCGGAATATTTCATTAACTGAAACATCCCTGTGATTTCATTTTATTCACTGAGCAAATGCTTTTATGGATTGAAGATAACACAATATAGGTGTGTTTGAATTTTCTTACAAATAGCCTACGAAAATCTTTTTTGATTTTGGATTTCATTATAGACTTGAGCCATGTTTTGAAAATGTTTCAATGAGGTGCATGAATTTCAGCTGATTTCCACCTCATCAAATTGAGTCAGGTGCAAGCTATCTAAGTTCTATGTAAAGTGTTTGGTGCTGTTTCTGATGCAGTCTTTTTTGTTTGTTTGTTTGTTTTGAAAGGATTTAGGCACCATCTACAAGGATCTGGAGATGCATAAATGTGATCTGTCACTCCAATCATTTGCTGCCTCTCCTCAGTGAGGTGTTGTGTTTGATTTTTTTCCTGAAGAATTATTCTCAGTTGGTTTAGGTTTTTTTTCCTCAAAAGAAAGTGAAAGATAAATGCATGCTTTGCAATTTTGTAGCAGCACTTGCTGCAGAAAAGCAGGTAGAGCTTTTGTTTGATTTCCTTAGTAGAGTTTGAGTCTTGAGAATCTTGAATTACCCTTCATATACAGTATGATGAGACTGTCATAATCTCTTAACAGAAAAAAAAAAAAAAGTAGTAACAATAATAATACACATCAAGCTGGCAAGGTGGCGGGTTATATATTTGCTTTCTTGTCCATATTTTTGTTCCTTTTCTCCATATCTCATCAGCATTTGTGACAAAAATACACGGCCCTTCACCTCCATCCCATACTGGGTAGCCCAAAGCTGCCTCTGCAGTTTATGGTCCTTAGCTCTGCTGCCCACCGAGCAATGGCCCTGCTGCCAGGAGAGCAATGCTTATGCTTCAGGGTCTGCAAAACTGGGCTCATAATTCTCGTGCCTCGCAGGTTTGGGGCCACTTGGTGCACTGGAACCTGTATCCCTGCAGGCGTGTGCCCCCAGCATGTATGTCATACCTCTGGGGGCTTCAGGCTGGTACATTTGGCTTACAGCCTCCTGGAAGGAGAAGCAAAACATTAAAGTCTAGCACACCTCATGAAATACATTGCATTAGCCGTACTGAAGAGCTTGTGCATGTTCTTTCTTGCCTTCCCTGCCTTTCTACCTGCATGGTCTCCATTATGTACCAGCAGTTCCTCTATCCCCTGGCCTGTGCAGCACAGCACGAAGCCCGGGGCTGCCCATGCGAGCCCTCTACCCACACCTGCTACAGCCATGTCCCATCACCGGCACCTTCTCATTCTTGTCGGTATTGAAGTCATGGCACGCAGCTCCGAGGTACATTGTCATTTCAAAGCTGTGGCTAAATGCGTCGCTGATTGACAACTATGAATAATTCCACGGAGCCCCTAAACTTCCAGACGTTTCGCTCTGAAGCTCATATAATGCAGCAGAGCTGCTCTCTCATGTTTTTCATCTTTTATATTCTCCAAAGAGTTGAGATACAGTTGTGGAACAGGTTAATGTATTTTCCTATAAAAATAATGCTGTGGGAGCCTATGCACGGTTACTTGTATGTGTGGAGAATAATGCTGATAATCCAGAAAAGAAAGTCACCAGCTTGATAATCATCATTATTTTGTCTCACGTTTTCAGCATGTTCATGTCCATGTCCTTCCAAGGAGGGCTGGAGACTTCAGCAGAAATGATGATGTCTACAAGGAGGTAAGAGTTGCACTCTGTTTCCTCTTCAGAGTTGATTTTGCTGTTAGAAAATCACGTTAATGATACAGGTCCTACCTGGGGTGGAGGTAGTTAATGGGATCTCTGCATCTTTAGTGGTTGCGAAGAGCCTGTGATAGCATCAAGCCCTCCACTGGGATTTCCTTGTGAGCTCTTGAGTCAAGCTGTGGTCACCCAGGGTCCTGGGGGAGGATGCCGTTGACATCTTTGGTACTTTGGTCCGTCATCACGCACAGAGTGAGGTGACATCTCTACCAATAGTTGTATTCTCTTATTATGAGTGTACAGAGAAAAAGTGTCAGCACACCGTTAGCCCGGCATGCAGGGAACATGTCCTACACCGGCTGCTAGCCCGGGGTGCCAAACCTCCCCCTTCCAACAAGGGAAAACACATGCGGCTCATTACAACTCAATCACAAATTGCCTTCTGGCCTGCTTTTTGTCAGGCCCTGCTCAGGCTCTGGACAAATCACATTGTAGCCCCAAAGATAAAAATTAAAGAGCAACTATGCATATAGATGTAATATATGCATGTGTGCAGATTGTACGGCGGAGCTGAGGACATAAGCTGTTCCAGTGTGACTGAATTACTGGCTTTTGTTTAAATGAACAATTGTACAGGCATTAACAAAAAGTTTTCCCCAGCTTGACAGCTGTCACAATGAGTTAATGAAAAAATCTCACTATTGTTAGATTTATGGGCAGTTCTTCCTGGGTTTGGTAGGATCCTCTATCTCAAATATGACATTTCCTTCTCTTACTCAAAGTAATTAATATAAACTTGTTCAGTGCTACTGCAATACCATCTGCTTGAAGGAGAATTCATGACATATTATGCTTTTGTATTTTTTCCTTTGTGATATATACATGACAACTCCCCACTTGCAAAAAAATGATAGTGTACCTTAAAGTTTTCTAATGACTTAACTATGCAAAAGTAGTGAGAAAAGTTTATTATTGACCGTTTACACAAAGTGTGGAGACTGAGAGCCCCACTAATAAGGGGTAAAACCTTACAATGAGACTGCTGAGCAAGGAGATCAAATGTAAATACATGATGGCCATCTTACATACTGCTTTAGTTAAAAGCAGTTAAGTGAGGCAACTTGAAAGTTAACATTTTTTTCCTTTTCCAAAGTGTTAAGTGGTTTTAGATGCGGCACCAGCCCACAAACTCTGTTTCTATTTTTGTTGTACTTGTAATGCCATTTTCTTTTTTAACACATTTATTTCTCCCTCGTTATACGTAAATACAAACAGGCTAAAACTCAATGAACTATACTTTTAGTCTTGTTAAATGCAAATGGGTGACAAATTTGTGAAAAATATTTTTATCTTGTCATTTTCAGTTATAGCAATTGTAGGTGTTGCTTGTAGCAGACATAAGAAGCGAAAATATTTAGACACAGATGTGATAATATATCTTTTAACAGAAGAATGTATAGCCTCAGAGTCTAACCAGCTATTCTTGAATACCACAGAGCTAACATATGCTTTTGTACAGACTGTAGCTGAACAAAGACCTTTTTTTTTAGGATGCCAGAGAAAAAAACTGTATTTGGTGTTATAAAAAGTTTGATGCAAAGTTCTATCGCTGGCTGGATGGGAGGATGGAGGGGCTTAAGCACTATGCTATGATAAATGGATAATCTATTTTTAAAAATACAAAATGGACAAATTTTTGAAAATGCAGCTGATTTTGGCAATCATTTGGAGCTTGTGTCAGTAAGGTAAAAATCTTTTGATATAAAGCATCTCTGTGTTGTACCAAGATGACATATCCCTTTGTCCAGAAGATCTTTTAAAAGATATTGGAAGATGTGTAGATCATAGAGGAGCAACAGGCTGAAAATCTATGAGAGATAGAGTACCATTAGGTGAGATGGAGAGAGCTTTAAATCCATTGTCCATGAAATTTGTACTTAGGACAATCCAAAACCTGCTTATAAACGATTCTTCATTTCCGTATATTTGAGGGATAGTTGGAGTTGATGTTTAGGCGGTGAAGACCACCTTCCAAAATCATCCCAACAGCCTTTTCCTTGTAGTGTGTAACATGGAAGCTGATCAGACTCCCTTAAACAATTTGTGTAATTGTAAATCACACCCAGGCTAAATTTTGCGTATTGTGGTGCTTGGTTTAACTACTGCAGCTAAAGGCTTTACAGCTATTGTGTGTCATTTTCACAGATTGTGTATCTCAGCTCTGGTTCAACACATCTATTGCAAACCCTTATCTATCTGTAAATGCCTTTGAGCTCTCCAAGCTCGGCAGTTGTCATCTGTGTATGCTGAGCAGATTGCTGACAAATCCCATTGCTCTGTGAGTGTTTGACAGTGAAAGGAATGCCCAGATGTTGAGACATCAGTCCTCTTAGGAGACTTCTAGAGTTGAGACAGCTAGAAAGTACTTCCAGTCTTTTACCGAGTGCTTTATTTCTCCCATTTGGTTTGGGAGTGACCACACGTCTGATTGAAAAGACAGAAAAAAGCATATCAGGTTGATCCGTACTTAGTCTGTTTACTGGGCTCTGGTATCTTCAGGCTTTTGGCTCTGAAGCTCTGACATAGCTTCATCTAAAGCAGCTTTTAAGTGTAAAGAGTATACTTAAAGTTAAGGTATATCTTTAGCACTTGGTTTTTAATAAGGTTGCTGATGGACACTAATGCCTGCTGGTTTCTGGATATATATATTAGAACTTCAGTACTGGAACATTAATTGTAGAAGGGATAAAAGAGGGGCTGACACCCGTTCCACAGCATCTTATCTCAGGCATTTCTTGGTGGAATACATCACTTAATATTTTAGGTTTCTGTACCTCAGTGCGTATGAAAGAAGTCACTGCATGATTTTACTAAGATACAGAGAGAATCATTAATAATAAAAAAAAATCTGTATTGAATGTTTTAGATGTATTTCCTCTGCATCTTTGTGGGGCTGTTTCTTGGGAAGGTATTTCCCAGGGAGCATTAGCTATCCACCCTCTGGGCTCACAGCAGTGAGAAGCTAAAGGTATCATTTTTCAGTTCTTACATTTTCCTGCAATTATTTGAAACCTAATCCTGCAAGTGTGCGCATGTCAGAGTTAAATTGGTCTTACAGGCTTTTTTAAAGGATCAGGCCCTTCATATTTTACTGTTGCTGGATTATTTTTCTCATCTACATCTTGAGTAGTTCTTATTCATTGATTCAATTTTTTTCTCGGACAGCAAAACTGTAGCAGCTTAATATTAGGAAAACTTTTAATCAGAATACCTCTTTATTCCTCTATGTTTTCTGTTTGGTTTGAAATAGATTAATATTTTTACATTTATTAATCAAGGAACTTAAAGGCCTTCCTACCAAGGAGTTGCCTGCTTTGAAGTAGAGGAGTTTTTTGCTATCGTAAGGGCATGTTCACAGTAACTGATAAGAATTTGGTATTAATGAACGTCTTTACTGTAGAGTGGCACCCTGTGTTGTTGCAGTCAGCACAAGTACCGCAGAGTTGTTGGAGGTCATCGTGTCCAAGGCGTTCAAGAACATTATCCTGAAATGTCTCAGCAGTTTCATACACAGCCATCTGTGGGCAGTCCTCATTCAGCGTGTGTTTGAAAAGTCCATAGCACAGCCTGTCCCTGGTCTCCACTGAGTGGTTAGCCATTACTGCAATATAAATAACATTCATCATCCTTTAGGTTGGCAGGTAATAGCCGTGCTGGGCCAGAGTGTGTGGGACTTTCTCGGAAAGGAAGACTGAATCAGAAGTCTGTAATACCGCTGTTATGAGTACTGACTTCAATAAGTTAATTTTGAGGCTGACAGACTCGGATGGGTGAGGGCAGCCTGTCCTCTCAGCAAAACCCTGAGCATCCCTGGTATGCAGTGACGGGTTTCGTGGTGCAGACCTCTGTTCCTCCCCAAACTCTGTGTTTCACTTGGTGGTTGCAGCCAAGTAACGGATGCAACAGCGGTGCGCATCCAGGGCGGTGCATGCAGGGCAAAGAGTCCCCATCCCCTCAGCCAGCTTTGCTTTCATGCCCACCTCGTTTTCTCAACTGTCTTCAATTCCCAACCTAGGCTGCAGAGCATTGAAAATGCTGTAAAAGGAGAAAGTGTGAATATGAGAGGTTAACCTAAACCGCTGTGTCTCCATCCCTCGGCTGTCTGCCAGACCTGCGTCACGGACCTCTTGTAATGAGCCTGGGTGAAACTTCCTAATGTGAATTCTTCAGTAACGTGGAGATTTTGTAAAACGCAAAAGCCAGCAAAAGAGTTTGGTTCATGCTGTCCTCCTTCCCCTCTGGCATTCAGGCACACAGCGAGAGAGTCACTTA